AGATGTGGCGTTTGTTGAAAATCCTCCCTGAGTTTCTCTGATACTCCAGACACGTATGGAATCACAATATTCTTGCATTTGACCTTCTTGTCCTCATCCCCTGTAGTCTTGGTCTTCTTCCTGGATTTGGCTGTTTTCACAAAGGTCCATTTAAGGTATCCACAGGCTGTAAGTGCCCGCTTCAGGTGGTTCTGTTCCTTCTCTCTGGCTTCTGCATTTGTTGGTATGTGGTCCTCTCTATGTTGCAGGGTTCTGATGACTAGCTTGTGTTCCAGTGGGTGGTGGGAATCAAAAAGCAAGTATTGGTCCGTGTGTGTGGGTTTCCTGTAAAACCCAATTTGCAGGCTCCTGTCCTCTTCAATGTGTACAGCACAGTCCAGGAATGCCATACTGTTGTTGTGGACATCTCGTGTGAACTTGATGTTACTATCCACGGAGTTGCACTTCCTGGGTTTTAATTTTGACCCAAGTGTCATCCACATATCTGTACCAGTGGCTCGGTGCTGTACCTTTGAAGCAGTTGAGGGCTTTTCCCTTCACATCTTTCATGTAGATGTTAGCCACAATGGGTGACGCTGGTGAGCCCATGGCACAGCCATACTTTTGTCTGTAGAATCCTCCATTGTACTGGAAATAGGTGTTGGTCGGGTAATTTATAGATCTGGTCAGGGCTGACACTGGTTCTGCTGTCCAGGGTGTTGTCTTTTAGTAGGATTCTACTGCCTCCATGGTGGGGATGCACAGGTGAACAAAGAGGTCACATTATAGGACACCATGATTTCATCTGGGTCCAGTTTCAGTCCTCGAACTTTGTTTACAAAGTCAATGGAGTTTTGGATATGGTGGGGCGTGTTACCAACCAAAGGGGCTAAGATGGTAGATATGTGTTTGGCAATGTTGTAGGTGACCGAGTTGATGCTGCTGATAATCGGCCTGAGTGGGGCTCCTTCTTTGTGTATTTTGGGTAGTCCATATATGCAAGGATTGGCTTCTCCAGGATGCAAATGGTAATACTGTACCTGGGTGATGGAGTTTTCTTTCTGAAGTTAGGTAAGATGGTGATGTTTTGATCCTTGCTCAGTGATGATACGGCTTTTCTTTCTTGTATGGTGAGGTTTGAAGGGGGGCCTTCGCATTAGAAAGGGCTGCCGATACCTTTAGCCTGAGCTGTTCTGCTTCTGTTTCGGTTAATTTGTTTTTCCTAATGGCCGATTCTGTAGCTGTGATGAGGTCCACTATAGGTAGTTGCTGTGGTGTGATGGCAAAGTTTAATCCTTTGGCTAAAACTTCTTACTCTGGTTTGGTGAGTTCCCTATCTGACAAGTTTTTCACCCATCTGTTATCTGTTTCCCATGTTGTAGGGTAGTCATCCTTATCCTCCAAGACAATTCTCCTGTTTTGTTTGCATTTGCATTGCTGACTCTTGCCTGTAGGTTTTGGAATTTTTGGGTCTGTCTTTTCTTGCTCGTGTTGTGTTGAGATAACTGTGCTTTCTTGAAGAAATGCATGGCCTTTTCCAGTACTGTACTGGGCGGATGTGTTTCAAGTTTTTGGTGTAAGTTGCCTGATTCCTTGTTCAGGGCTTCAATGGTGAAATGGATCTGTCTCACTCTCTCTTTCAGTAGCTGGTGTTGCCTTCTCTAAGATTATATCTGCTCTCTGTCCTTTCACCGTGGAGCTTAAGTGTAAGCTGTTGGGTAGGATTTTGTATTGTCGGCATCTCAGGTTAAATCTTAGGTGGTTTCTGTTGTTTGAATTTCCCCTGGCTATCCTTTCCTGGCTAGCTATTTACACTTGGGGTGAGAAGCTGTCGCTGAACAGAGAAGGAGGTCTACGCCACCACTTATCACCCACTTACAATGTTGTCCTTTCATCACTTCCCAGGAAACTGAACAAGCATTTCCTCTTTGCCTCAGGTGAAGATGCCAACGATGGTTGTTCAGACTTGGCCACGGGTGGTTCTAATGACCATGACAACTGTTGTTACCACAGCCAGGAGCACTAACAAACCAGCAGTATCGATGATCCTAGCTAACAATCCCACAGAGGTTAAATAGCTGAGTTTCCCTACCAGTCAGTCAGAACTGAAGAAGTCTCTTGGATGAGGGACGAAACATCTTCTAGTTTTTCTTCAACCAAGTCCAGTTGTCCTTGACCTCAACCTTCGTTGGATAACTATGACCTGGATGACAGAGAACCTTCACAGACATTTCTGTCAATAAATCCTCAGAAATATAACACACTGAACCTTTAAAGCTATTCCAATGTTTGGGTGTGTGTGTGTGTGTGTGTGTGTGTGTGTGTGTGTGTTATTGTTCTATTTTTTTGCAGTTTATGACATGTAAACAGGCTGGTTGTCCATGGACTGCGCAAAAAAAAAGACCAAACAGCTGGCAAAGTACTATTCCATTTCAGCAGTCACATGGAGCAGGGGCCAATTGGTCATCGAGCATTTCTGGCACATGTCAGATTTATAGTAACATCAGTGTTTCTAACACATAGGCTTTACTTGGGCGGGCCAATCAGGTACAAAACGGCCGGCCAAGTTTATTTGGCAACCCCTTTATGCACTTTGCAGAGAAACACAATAGATGCTATGTATTAGCCCTACGTCATAAGATGCAGACACGGTGGATATTTCCCAAGCACGGGAATTTTGATTTAACTGGGTTTCAGTTTCGATAGGCTTCCTTATTAACAACAAGCCTTCTCTGCACACCTGTAGCTGAAAACGGTATCACAGGTGGAAATCGCAAGTGCTGTGTCATTTCATCCACTTTATAAAACAGCCCACTGAAGATTGGAAAAGTCAACAGGGCCGACACATACTGGGAGAGAGAAAGAAAGAGGTAGGGCAAGCTGCTGTGTTTATAGCACAGGTGTGTTGTGTGGGAATATTAAAACTGAAGGCAAAGAGAGCAGATTCAAGTAGGCTAGTGAGTAAACCCTAAAATAAAGGTGGAGAATTAAGTACAATTAAAGCTGCAAGCAGCGTTGGGCGGGCCCTCGCACTTGTAGCGCGTCCGGGTGCGACTGTGAATTTGCTACACGGTTCAGACGCCGCATGTACTTGTTATATGTCACTTCCTGTGTCCCCTATGTGGAGCTACATAGCACTTGCCGCTATGTATATAAATGGGTATTAGTGTGTAGATGTCTGCGGGGTGGGAGATTTATCAAGCACGTAAAGTTTGGTTCAGATGTGAGCATGTACACGTAAGTTACAACAACTTCCTGTGTCATGGCGAAGAGTTGATCTTTGACGCCACGCCACGGACACAGCCATTGACAAAAACTCACAGATAGCACAACTTTTCATCTTCAATGCCTTTAGAAGGCACAGCACAAATTTGAAGTCGGTCGGACTAAATCCCTAGGAGGAGTTCGTTAAAGTACGAAGTGTGTAAATCATCCAAAATTTGACGTAAAATTCAAAATGGCCGACTTCCTGTTGGTTTTAGGGCATCACTCCAAGAGGCTTTTTTGTGCGTCTGGACAAGATACACGTACTACAGAAAATTCGTGCACGTACGGCGGGGGCTGCTTCGTTAAAAGTCAATTCCTGTTGCCAGCAGGTGGCGCTATGACTGTGGGTGAATGTCAGCATGTACATGTGTTCAGGGCGGGACTCTCATCCTACATGTACAGTTTGGTGCAGATGTGAGCATATACACTGAAGTTACAACAACTTCCTGTGTCATGGCGAAGAGTTGAGCTATAGTATAGAGTATGTTGTCTCGTATACTGTAGTAATATGTAATATGTGTCTTGTCCTGTAAGTTGATTATTGTAATCTTGTATTGAGCACCATGGGCCTTGAGAAACAGCAATTTGTTCATTTGTGTACTCGATATGTGGATGAATGACAACAAACTAACTTTACAGCAGCCAAATATCCTGCTCAGCTTCCAGACCGCAGTCTGAAGATGAGATGTTTGCTATCACTAACTGCCTTTCTAGCAGTTGGAAAACAACAGACAGACTTTAATTAACGGACACACTGTGACCTACACTGTACATTTACAGCCAGGCTGAAACGTAGCGCTCATGTTTTCCTCCTCATTTTCACCGTCTCCTACTGCTGCCTGTCACGTAGCTGTCATTTGAAGAATGACCAGAGGACGCTCGCTAAGCGCTACCGTGCTTCACAGTGTGCGGATGAAAATTATTAATGTGAGTTATTTGATTAATTTTATTCATCATGTGAAATTTTAGTAGCAGCTGTCACTCAATCAACAACTGCCTGTCATTGGCTAAACAGGAAGAACCACACGTCTCCGTTGTGTGCACCGCACAGATGGTCCGGAGCTGCACTTCCGCTGAGTTCCGCCTTTTTGTTCTGTCAATATTATGTTATCAATTAACCTCTAGATAATCAATTATTGACATTTGTGAATCGATTCATAATCGTTCAAGTCCGCATCGCAATGCATCTAAAAATCAATTATTTTCCACACCCTTAATGTTTTTCCATCTATTGTCAACCGCTTATCCTGTGTACAGGGTCGCTGGAGGACTGGAGCCTATCCCAGCTGACATTGGGCGAAAAGCGGGGTACACCCCGGACAGGTCGCCAGTCCATTGCAGGGCCACACATAGACAGACAACCACTCACACTCACACCTAAGGACAATTTAGAGACACCAATTAACCTAGCTTGCATGTCTTTTGGATGGTGGGAGGAAGCCGGAGCACCTGGAGAGAACCCACGTGGACACAGGGAGAACATGCAAACTCCACAAAGAAAGGCCGGGGCAACCAGGGTTTGAACCCACGACATTCTTGCTGTGAGGCGACAGTGCTAACCACTGCACCACCGCGCCGCCCCCCCAAATGTTTTTAAGGAAGAGAATTGCTTTCTTTTCCCTTGAAAACTGTACACCCATGATGAAGTGTGATCAGCTTGAATATGCTGGACTGTTTCGATTCCTGATGAAATTTGACTGTATTGTGGAATCAAATAAAATGTGTGTGTGTGTGTGTGTGTCTGTGTGACTCACCCACAGGCATTAGCTCCACCACTAGTTTAGGGTAGGCGATGTTGGAGCAACCAACTGAAGCTCCACACACACTCTGGCACTCTGCTGGAGCCACACAACCTACCTCATCTACAAACACACACAACCACAAAGAAGAGAATAAAACATGTAAAACCTTAGGGGCATATAAAGGGGCAATCACTAAGACTTTTCTCTGTCAAAATACACAACAACCAGAATTTATCTTCATTTCACCCACAGGCATTAGCTTCACCACTACTTAAGGGTAAGCAATGTTGGAGCAATCAACTGAAGCTCCACACACTCTGCTTCAGCCACACAACCTATATCATCTGTACATACTGTACAAGACCAGGGTTGGGGAGTAACAGATTACATGTAACGGCGTTATGTAATCAGGATACAAAAATAAAGTAACTGTATTCCGTTACATTACAGTAAATAAAGACGTAATCAGATTACAGGTACATTTTGTAAAAACAGGGACTACTCACAGGGATTACTTTAAGCAGAAAGTTTCCATGAAACAGAAAACGGAGTGCTATTTGCTATTTCCATGTATGTTTCCTGTAAAAACACAAAGCTAGGGAGGGATTTGTTGCAGTGTGTGCGGACTGGTTCCAGTTCCCAGTGAGTGAAAACAGCCTGAGACCGTACACAGGCTCCGAGACCGACGGAGGCCAGTCTGACCACTGGGAATGCAGTACGAAGGTGGTTTTCTTGCCGGTTTGTCTCTTGTCATCTCAGGGCTGAGTCAACTAATGAGACTGTGTTTGGTCCTGTTCATGCCGTGTTCACTTGGAGGCTGCTGAGCGCAGTTTCGTTGCCCAGCAATCATTCCAAACCTCCAGTGCTTGAATAAAGGTGTAAACCTAAACACACACTCCAGTGTTCCGAGCTCCCAGTACAGGCAGAGTAAGCTAATTTGACCTGTAGCTGCAGGTAAACTGAGCTAATTACATAATGGCAGCTAGTTAGCTGACTTGCTACACCAACAAGTAAAGCTATCTGTCCATCAGGGGAGACAGTAAATCACAGGGTTGAGGCAGAGCAGCCGGGAAACATCTGGAAAAACCAGAAAATATTTTCCATCAAATATGATCCAGTTTCAGTAAAATCTGTGAATAAAGTTGTGCTTTTGTTCAGTAATCAGTGATGCCCATCCCAGAAACACTATTTTTCCCCAATGCAGGTTGATCATACTTTTCATGTTCATACTTTTCACTTGGCCAACATTTCTAAAAATCCTTTTTTTGTATTGGTCTTAAGTAATATTCTAATTATCCGAGATACTGATTTTGGGGTTTTCATTAGTTGTCAGTTACAATCATCAAAATTAAAAGGTACTTTGTATGAACAATCTGTCTTTATTAAGAGGCTATGTCGGTGGTGAAGCGTGGGCTTATGCTTAGGGCTATTCCTCTTTCAGACAGTCACTCAGCCAACAGAAGCTACTTGGTCCGCACTGTCTATTGGCGGCTGGCTAATGACTAACAACAAATGTTACATGAACCATTATCACAAAAGAGAAAGAGGCAGAGAGAATAACTAAACATTTGAGAAACAGAGCAACAGAAAACAGGAGAATGAGAGGGAGAGAACGAAGCCATCGCTAGATACTAAGCTAAAGTACGATAGCTAGCAAAACTGAATAGTGTGAAAACAACTGTGAGATTAAGTGAGAGTTGCTAAAAGAATGATAAGTGCTTGAACAGAACTACTGAAGATTAAATGTATAGCGGATAATTAGCTATAATGAAGAATCTAACACATTTCATATGCCAAGTCAAATATGCCAGAGTATGCCTCATCGAACTGCTGAAGACGGGCTGTGGCTTTTGAAGGCAACGAAGGATGTTGTTTCGGTAGAAACCACTGAATCCATATTCAGAATGATGTCCATATAATTGTTCATTACCTGCCAGCAGGTGGGAAGTTGTGAATGGAGAGAAAGCATATACAAACTCTGTGGGAGTAAGCTCTCTGGAATGGGTGGATGTTCTCCCTTTGAGGTGAAAGAGTTCGAAAGACAAATGGGAGGATTAGCTGTGGACGAGGGGGATGTTGGCTGGAATGAGTTGAGAGGTAAGACTGGAGTTAATCCGGAAAGAACTTGCTGCTGCAAGGCTGTGGAGGAAAGCTGAGAGCCAGCATCCTAGTGCAGAAGGTTCAAACTGACATGAGTTGCTTGGACTAGTAAAGATTAGTGTGCTGAAGATGCTGAAGATTCTGACATCCCAGTGCCAGCCTGGAGATGGGCTGCAGGGGGTGCTGGTACCCTGGTGCCTAAAGCACCGACTGAAGCTGGCTGCTGTGGTTGCTGGAAGTGGACTGCTGGGAGTGCGCCATCACAGTGCTTTTCATAAAAGAGCAGGTCTAGACCATACTTTATGATGCTATTTACAGAAGCCCAACAGTTCCCACCAAGAGCAGCACTAGGAGACAGAGGCAAGGAAAAACTTCCTTTTAAGTGGCAGAAACCTCGAGCAGAACCATGGCTCAGGGTGGGCGGCCATCGGCCTCGACCGGTTGGGGTGAAGGAGAGAGAGGGAGAGAGAGAGAGAGAGAGAGAGGGCAGGAGAGGAACAAAAAAAATAGAGAGGGATGGAAGGAGAGAGAGGGGAGGGAGGCAGCCTACACAATATACACACAGAGGTACAGACTAAATGAAAAATGGTACAGATATTTATAGTAGTGTTAATGATAACAATTGTAAAGATAATGATTATAATAACAATAATAACAATAGGACACATGCTGGGATTGGCATGATTGAGGTGTGGTCATGCTCCTGAGAACTGCTTCAGTATATTTTGGTAAATGAAAATCTTTTGGCTGGTGTAAGGGTAATGATCAAATATGCACAACCTTTCAATATTTGACATGATAATCCAACAGACAAAGGAAGACAGACTGACCTGGGAATAGTGCTCGGCTGATCATGCCTGGCATGACAATGAAGAACATGGGCAGCAGTTTGAGGTAGCCTCCCAACACACTGCCTGCTTTGGCATGAGACAAAGACTTGGCTGACAGAGACCTCTGGACTATAACCTGCACACACACACACACACACACACACACACACACACACACACACACATTTTTGTCACTGACCAAATGCATTACTTAGACCCTACCCCTAACCATCACAATTTAATACCTAAGAGATGAGTTTTCAAGACCCTCTCTAACTTCAAGAAGCCCTTGAAAACTCATCTCTTCCGAGAACACTTCCTCTTATAACACCTCTAACTCCTAACCTCTAACATGCACTTCCTGTGCTCTTCTTCTTCTATCCCCTACAATGATCTTGTATAGATTGCACTTTTTGTTTTGATTGCACTCTTACTTCCTTCCCTAGGTATCTACCCCATTGATGTGATATGTACTGTGAGCTCTTACTAGTATTTATTGCTGCTCTTACTAGTATGTATTGTCAGTTGTAGATCTGTAGTTGATGCTCTGTTGATGCTTGTATGTTGTTCCTCAAATGTAAGTCGCTTTGGATAAAAGCGTCAAATGAGTAAATGTAAATGTAATCCCAACCCTACCCCTAATGTAAAACTAGTCAGTGATTGTAAGCAATATCATTTTATTATTATCATTATTGCATTGCAGACTTTTGTACTTCTATAATCAGCAGAATATATATTTTTTACTTTAATGTGGTACAGAGGTAAGACCTTGCTACCCATATATTCTGTTTCAATAATAAGCGATACACTTTTACTTTAAATTACATTTCATGAACCCTGCAAGCAGCCCTTCCCAGTGCACAAGAATCTTTTCTCAGAGAAAACTTATTGCTGTCTGGGATGTGGAGAGTTTCAAATATGAATAGAGCAGGTCAAATATACTGCCAAGAGCAGATGATGATGCTTTTGAAATTGAATACACATGTTTGGACATGAAGATCTGACGGTCATCTTTCATGTGTAATTTGTCATCAAAATGATCCACACATTAACCATCTGCAGTTAATACCCCTGTGGTGCCATTTATAAAATTAAGTTGGAACTTTTGCATGTCGTATTTTTTACTTCTTATTCCATTATATATTTATATTTATACTACAATTATGTAGAGCCATATGTACAATGCAAGGTCTTTCTGGATCTTGCAAATGTGTAGTTATCTGCCTATTTGTTTCAAGTCTGTTCACTCAGAGCTGTTTGCATACACATCATGCAGTCACAACAACTTTTGGACATTGGATTTCTGGCTCATTCCAGAGATTGCCAAGACATGAGAGGTTACCAGCCTGGCTCTGCCAGCCAGAAATGCTGGCATGCTGCAGCACGAGTCGTAAATAAAGACGTGGGAAGAGAGGCGGGCTAAGGGCTAAGCTAAAGCTAACCCCTTATTGCCTATCAAGCATTTTTCTCAACCAATACACAGTCTCTGGCCAACAAAATGGAAGAGCTATGACTGCGGATCATTACTCATAAAAGGATTACGGACTGCAACAGCATGATATTTATGAAAATATGGCTCTACAGTGGCTATATAGATGGGAGAAGTGAGGAAGATAGCTTATGTGACCACATTGGTGGGTCGTCATGCAATGATCCAAACACAGTGGCAGAAACTAACACAAGTGAGATACGTAAGGTAGTAGTTGCAGTGGCAAGACGAATTGTTTTAATTAATTTTTAAATATGGCCCATATCAGACTCCAGTGTGAATAACACGACGTCACATGCAGCACGCTGTCATACAGAAGTAAACAGAGCCATAGAGGTTAACCCTCACAATTTTCACGGGAGGCTCTTGTTTTTCATTGTCCTCTCACGGATCACATGTCTCCCAAATTATGACACGTGTTCACAACTTTCTGTCCTTTTCAGTTACGGTTTCTGGTGCTGTACAACGCAACTGCCCCAAAAATCATTCATTCTCTCCCTCTCCCTCCCTTCCCACTGTGTCCGCACCCACAAGTAGCTTGTACGTAACTCAATAGAGAGCTTGCGGTCCGGTAGATTTCAGGTGGAAGAAAGGGAATTTGTGAGTTGATGATAGCAACGTAGCTCCGTCTACAGCAGAACTGTGACAATAACTGCTCTAGAGTGATGTCAAAGTCGCATCAATTCCGACCTGACCGTCGAGATCCGATCTGTTTAAGATTAGAACCACATATGAATGTGGCCCAACTCCGAACTGGAAAAGATCAGATTCCATGGGACTTGACCATTCACACATAAAAAGATCAGATGTGACTCACATATGGCCTATCGGATTTGGGTCCCTTTATCTTCTTTTGTCTGATAAAGCGCAGTTATTTGCTACACACCCTGTGTCAAAAAAAACAGTAACAGTAACATAGTATTTGTACTTCGTTACAACTCTGCTTATTTTGAAAGGGAAAAGAGGAAACTTGCACTCTTCAACACTCTCAACCTATGGCAAATATGACCATGGAAAACAACACAGCAAAAGGGCTCATCATTGTCACAGAGCAAACAGCCAGCAAGGAACGTTAAACCAAAGCAAGGTGAAAGACAAATTTTGATTGCATCAAAGCAACATGCTGATGTACATGATCAACACCATTGGCAAACATCACATGTTTTGCAGCCTAGTGATTGCTTGGGCAAGGCAATAGGCAACATATAAGTAATCAACAAAATGATCAAATTCCATCAGGAGATATCACTATCACACACAATCAAAATTTAATCACAGCTGCCCTTCTTCACCAACAGTCTGTGCCAGCATGAGAGATCCCTAAATTGGAAGATCTGTTTCAATATTAAGCATTTGGACAAGGAGTGGAAGACAAAGCTAGCAGAGCTGACTGCTTGTACTACTTGATGCCATGCCCTCTGCTTTCTCGTCCCTCTCCTCTCTCCTCCTATCACTTCCTGCAGGTTTTCTGAGGAGCTGTGGAGTCTGGATCTGTGGTTGCGAGTCATCTGCTGCCCCTGTGTTCCTGCTCGACACCCTCTGCTACAATTATTGTTACTAGTCCTATTGTTATTATTGTTATTATCTTTAACATTATGATTATTATCATTAACAATATAAATGTCTGTACCATTATTCATTCAGTCTATAGCAATATTACCTTTACTGTCTATACTTCTGTGTGTATATTGTGTAGGCTGCCTCCCTCCCCTCTTTGTCTCTCTCTTGCTCTCTCTCTCACCCCCAACCAGTCGAGGCAGATGGCCACCCACCCTGAGCCATGGTTCTGCTTGAGGTTTCTGCCTCTTAAAAGAAAGTTTTTCCTTGCCTCTGTCGCCTAGTGCTGCTCTTGGTGGGAATTGTTGGGTTTCTGTAAATAACACCACAGAGTATGGTCTAGACCTGCTCTTTAATGAAAAGCGCTGTGAGATAACTGTTGTTGCGATTTGGCACTATATAAATAAAATTTAATTGAATTGAAAATAGAAACCAATCATTGTCTGGTCAGGTGTTTCTGCCTGGAAGGTAAACAGTTTTTGACTGCTAAAGTGGTTAGTTACTTGTGGTTCTGGATGTTACTTTTTGCTTGTAATACTGCAAATATGTTCAAGTTTAATAGACACTAAGAAGTTTATCAAGAAGACGAAATGGAGTGTTCAACTGGAAACTACGTTTTGTGGTTTGAAAGATTTGTAGGTTTTTTGTTAATTATGTACAGGTAGTATTGGTAAAATGATTTGTTGGGCGGGGATTGGGGATTTAATTATTACTAAGCCGTTTAGCTGTATCAGCTACTAACAGGCTACTTACACTGAATGTCAAACAAAAAGATACAGGGCTTAATCTTGCGTCGCTAATTGTGCACAAAGATCACAGTTGGATCGAATTAATCTAGAATGACATCCCCACAGAAACTAAACCAAAATGCTAACTTTTAACTTCTAACTAATCAACTGGCTCAGCACCCCCCCTGGCTGCGTGGGCTGTCCCTCTCTCTCTGCTCCTGAGCCAAGGTGACAGTCCACACCTACACCTCATCAGTCACCTCCTCTGCCTTCTACACCTGCCAGCAATCAACTCCTGCCCAATCTCCTCTGCTCCACCTGTTCTTTGGTCCTCTGGGCCTGCGTCCACCTCTCCCTCAACAGCACTCCCTCAGCCCCTTTTCCCTAATAATAAGCATTTATCATGCTGTCGCCTCTCAGGGAGCATTGCTCGGCCAGTACGCTTATCCGATCTGTGTCGGACACGCTTTGTTCCCTGACTGAAGAGGTGCAGCACTTGGTGCGCGTTCCCCGACCCCTGCAACGTGAAACCTTTGTCTCCGTCTCATTCTCTGCCATGCTCTCTGTCGGCTGACGTCGCCCCGTTTCTCATCGCTTCCGCACTTTCCCCTCAGGAGTCTCAGCGTTCTGGGAACTTGCAACGGCGTATTGGTACAGTATACAGTCATTCGCTGAGCCCAGCCCACCAACCCTGACCCTAGCACTGTTCCCCAGAACCGCCTCTATGTCCCATCAAGTGTCCGCAACCAGGTCCTCTAATGGGTGCACGCCTCCA